CATGTATTAAGGCATACCAAGATTACTGTTGAATGTTCAGTTTCATGATGCTGCCAATGAATCGTCCACCAGTTATGCCATCAAGAAGGGCGATTGAGGGGGCTACCTAGGATAACCATTTAGCATGTACTTGGAAGTAGGCTTAGTGATGAGGGATATTTTATTTTGGTCATTGTATCACAATTGTTTGAAGTTGTTGTTCTAAACACGTGTAAACCTTGTTGGTTCATTTTTATGTTTTGTTGATTCAAGACTTGTTGTGAGCAGATGTCTGCACCTTAGATTTATAGATTTTGTAGGAACCTTGTAACCTTTGAACGAATCAAAAATAGGTTGAACGGATCGTGAGCTTAAATTGAGCTTAACATGTGCAATCCTTGAAATACAATGACCCGAGCTCATGAATCCTACTCATAAACTTGTGTGAATTCAGGTTTTAGATGTTAAAAATCATGCTTGGATTTGAATAGCCGGATAGCTTGAATTTGGGCTCGAAGCGGTAATTTGAACTTTGTAACCTTGATTTCAATGTAACCCAATGGACTGTAACTTGTATTCTTCTCTTGAAACGACAAATGAAACTTGTACCACATTGCTTAGTCACGCATTTCTTTTGAGCTTCAACTTGAAAACTTCTTATGAAAACTCGGTTCAAGATGTTTCATCCAGATTTACCGCTTTTAAAAAACAAATTTCCAATCCTTGAGGAACCTTCTAAAAAATAGCGATATAACTGAGGTTTTGAGAGGTATCGAGAGAAATGGTCAGTGGAGAAGTCAAGATCCTTGAATCAGAATGGTTACACCTTGGAACGCTTGATTGTTATAAATTATACTGGAAAGTGTTGCGCCTGCATAAACCGGTTAGTCACAATAAACATATAAGAGAAAAAAACCTTAAAGATGCTATGCAAGAAAACACATAAATAAAAGGGGTCTTAGGTCAAAAATTAGGGTGCGACAATAGCCAATCGTATTTATTCACTCAGAGACTCGGGTAGAGGAGCTGCTCTCTCGTATGGGTCTTTCATTCAAGAAGTTCTCAACCATGCCAAAATCACATTTCAGGTATTTCGTATAAATCCATAACCTCTGATCAAGAGTTCTTCCAAAAGACTCTTACAATGATGGGATATACCTGGGATCAAACACAAAGTAGCTATAGGTTCATTGTTAAGGCAACACCTCTCGGCTGGAAGAATCAGACGAGAGTGATGACCAAAACGAAGAGGCACTGGAAGAAGACCAAGATGAACAGGTTGGTGGACAACCAATGGAGACTGAAGACCAAGATGATGGAAGGTGGTTTGACCAACCTCCTCCTACGGATCATGCAAACGACCAAGGGTGGGGCGCCTGGCAACATACTGGTTGGACATCGTTAGACGACAATTATATGCCTCAACAACATTCGGAGTATCAGTAAACTCCAAACTGGAGCTATGAGTCTCCACTATTCCCGAATCCGCCACAACAAAACTCTGATGAACTCCTCGATATGATGAGGACTATGCAGCTTGGACAACGTTCCTTCATGACTGCTCAGGATGAGCGTCTTTCTCAACTCCAAAGTCAATTTGAGACTCACACTGAAAATTTCAATGCTTTTTATCAGGTGTCATGTGAAGGTTCAATGGGTTTGTTGAAACAACCGCCATTCAACACAGGGCTCTTGCCACTAGCTTCAACACCCTAAACCGAGCGGTCTTGGAGTTCATTGAACGAGCCGATGCTCAATTACCTTCGGAGTATCCCTCTCAAGGGCGTAGCCACCATTTCAAGGGGAGGAGACCTTGAAGTTGCTTTGCATCCTGCATTTTGCATCTCATTATTCTGTTTTTCAATGTTGCTATGTATTGTTACACTTATGCACGTGTTGTTGCCTCTGACTGTCATGAATTATGAACTTATATGTGATAAATGACTTTTTCCTTCTTGACTAACCTAGCAATCTTTATTTTTTATCTGTGCGTGGCTCTATTTATCATTTCTTTCTGTTATATGTTCATTAACTATGTTATATGTGAATGTGTGTTAATGTATAGCCCATTGCGAATGTTTTGAAATGTGCGATTTTCTATTACTGTTATACCATTCATTGACAGGTGTTTCTTTCTTTTTGATGTTGTCAAAGGGGGAGAAAGTGTCAAGCACTGCAGTAGAACTAGAAACATCACAAGTGAAGACTTAGTATTAACACAAAAGAGTGTGTAGGGATGAAGGCATCAAGCAAGGGGGAGGATAACGTGACATATCATACAATCAGGTTCTATGTGTTTTGCCATCATCAAAAAGGGGGAGTATGTGAGGGAAAAGCCTCATATATAGATGTTCTCGTTTTGATGATGTCAAAACTCAGCTCCATAAAAGAATATATGTTGGACGTTATCACCATGTCATAGTTGCATATTTTGTTTCTCATAATTCAAATGCTCGTAAAAATCAAGATTGTTGCATATAGATAGCCAAATATAGGGTTGACTTAGTTGGTGTTGGTTGCCATACTATAGGTTTCATCAAAAGTATCATAAAGTATAAAAATAGGCATTTTTGAGTGTTTTAGGGCTTTGAGTCGACCAAAGACTTGTTCCGGTCGACTCACACTGTAAGCCTTTTTAGTGCATTAGTCTTGGGAGGGCTCGCGTCGACCCTCCGGTCGACTCATACTATAAGCTTTTTCATTTGGCTAAAAATGCATGTCATGCGTCGACGCATAGTCCTGTTTTCTGCATAATCTTGTTTTCGGATCTGCTCAGGTCGACCCCCTCTACTGCATAGGTTGATTGTTCGTTGTTTTGTGTTAAAATTCGGTTATGTCAACTGGTTTTGTGAATTGGTTTTGTTTGTTATGTCAGTTATGTTTGGTATATAAGTTCAGTTGCTCTTTCATTTTCACAAAATTAAGAAAAACAAGAAAAGTGAAATAGGTGTCGATTTGGTTATCATCATCTTCATTCTCTTCATAGCAATTCACAACAATCACACATAACCATCTTTTTGTGCATTGTGCATGTTCGAGGTGATAACTTCCAAAGTCGAAGGTTGGTTTATCTGGTTTGGGTTGAGTAATCGATAGGTTTTTCTTTAATAAAACCTTTAGGATTTTGCCCTCCAAGAATCTCAGATTTTGGGGGGTTTTGCACGATTGGTTCCATCACATATTCAGCCGAGTGAAGGTAATCGAAGAACTGGAGGTTCTGTCGATTTAGTAATGGTAAACTGAGGATTGTGAGTGGGGGTTTCAAGTTCGACACGCGGGTGATTGAAATCAGTCGGGCCAAATTTTAAAGACCGAAGGTTGTTCAAAGAAAGTGTCGCAATCGGAGGTTTATTCACAGTTGTCGAAGTACTTGATTCAACTTGAATCAAGGGCAGGAAGAAATAGGATCTACAACAACAATTGTGTTCGTTTGTTTGATAGTTATTCGCTTCTTGTATTAACATTGACCAACAGGTTATATCTATCTATAATCAGGTCTCAATTCTATTGTTAGAATTAAGGGCAGACGTACCCCGAGCGAGGACGACGGGGGAACTGCCTCAACAAATCGTTGTGTGTTTTGCTTTACATTTATATTGCTTAATATTTGTGTTTTTAGTGCAAACGATTATATCAATCTAGGTCTGATTTGAGTTGTGCTGAACTAATTTTGAACCTAGTACAATCATTGATTGTAAAAGGGAACTTGAGCACCTAACTCTCAAAACAGAACTCACTTGTAGTGCTCTACACTCCAAGTGTTTGATAAATTGTCTGAACTAAAATCCTTGTGTGTTGTCTTTTCATATTGTTAATATTTTAAAGGCATTGGAACTTGTCACGCCGTACAGTGAGCATAATCAAATTGAAAGTGTGATTAACGTAGTGATTCTCATATGTCGTTTATCCGATTCCATAAGCTTAACGCATATCCGGTTTTCTAGTAACCGTTTGTTTTAGACGTGTATAGTTACTCGGCCGCTTCTGCAATTAAATAAATTTTAAAAACCATTTTTATTGGTAGCGCCGACTCTTTTAAGCAAGCGACTTATTCAACCCCCTATTAAATTTGCGCCATCGTCTAACACTAGAGACTATAAGAAAGTCATAACATTGCTGAGTAGCAAGTTTTTCTATTATATGCCGTTGATAAAACTGTATGGTGAAACTAGTTTGTTCCTTTGTTAATATAGAGTTTGTTGCAAGGTGGAAATTTGTGACATTTTAAATTGAATTCTAATATCGACAAGAGTAGTTTTATGGTTCGACCAACATCGATTTACATGAATAAAAAACAGAGGTATAAACCAGTTGTGGAAGACTAGACCATACTATGGCTACATCAAGTTGATTGGATATGTTTCCAACTGTCGAGCTTCTTAACCTTGTTGCTTATTTGGACCATAGTCATATTCTTCTTCAATGGTTAACTTCATGAAAATTATAGAATTGGCTTGTTAAGCCGACCCTCCATCTTAACTATAATTTTTTGTTTAAGTTAGTGTTAAAACAATTAGTTATAATGAAATATAATAACTTCTTTAAAATATAATATAATGTATACCATGTTCACAATGTACCCTTTTGTTAACATCACATCAAAGTAGGGAGGCCCCTTTAAGAGCTCTCAAAATAAAATAAATTAAATCTTAACTTTCTTTACTATATTGTTACTCTTTCTACTATAGTACTTATTTATTTAGTTTAACAGAAATAGATTATAAAAGATTCCTTACTTTTAGACCTCCAATAAGTTCATATGAAAATAAAAATCCTACTAAAAAGTATATGTTTAAAAATCCTACTAAAAGTATATCTTTTATTGTGCTACTATATCACATAAAAATCCGACATCGAAGTATTATAGTAGAAAGAGTAACAATGCTTAGATGAATCATCAACTTAAAAAGGATTACTTAGCAAAATGTATCAGACTCATTTTTGTTAAGTGAGTACTGCAGGGCTACGAAGACATAAGAAAGGATTAGTATATTTTCAATTTGAAGATGTATAGCAGACCTTCAAGAATTAATGTAACACATAGCTTGAGCTTGAAGATAATAAGAATCCTTGTATTTTCTGTTACTCCCAACATGAACCCCGTTTTGAATCCAGTCTTCCCTGTTTATCCATGCATCTCTACCTAAATCCAGTACTCCAAGAATCTGCAAACACGCGATAACCTACTTTAAGATGTTAAGAATTAAGAATTTTACTCGGCGAAAAAACTTAATAACCAAGGTGAAGAAATTAATGAAGTGGAGCATGATTGTCTTATGTACTCAACATACCGCCCCGCCTTTCCATGATACAAATGTCGGATTTGATCTTGATTGTATAACCTCGACTGTATCAATTGCTTCATTTGGAGGAATAGCGTGTAAAACCCTGTGGTGTAAAAAGATAGAGGGATTCGTCAATCAGCTTAACTTGAACAAACTAATCAACAAAATCATTGAAACAAACCTTTCTTCAACTGCGGGAACTAAACCATTTGTCAAAGCCACGCCGCCGGTCTATTTCAGATAAATTGTGTCAATTTCTTTCGATCAACATGCGATATGAAGAACTTAAAAATGTTGAGCTCGGCGTGTAAAACTCACCAATTGTATGCTACAAAATAATTTTCTCTGGATGTCTATGCGACCTGTGAATACAAGCACAAAACAGTTAAACATAACTTTAAGCTCTATATAGAAAATGAAGGAATATGAAACCAAAAAATTACCAGTTGAGAGAATGCAGTTGGTAATAGCTTCGGCAAGGCCGAGATTTTCTTCTTTTTTCGGCTTAGTTGAGTAAACAGGATAGCTTTCCCACATCGGCAATCCTCCATTGACATTAGGATAGAAAGTATCTGACATGTCAGACCTTCGGGAAAAGTCAATATGCCATGTATCTTCTAGCATATCCTCGTAGTCACTAAACCTAGCAAGGGAGATCACCAGGATCGTGTAAACGCAAAATAGTTCACAAACATGGTCACAGTAGAGAGAGAAAATTCATGAAAACCCTATGCTCACCAAGTCCGTGGTGGAGGAGGATACACGTCTGGAACAAAAAGCATTGGATAGAACAACCCCATGGGAGGAACCTACGCAATAGTTTTTGACAATTGTTGAAGTCTAAGCATATGATTATGTAATGGCAAATGAAGAATGGATTTTACTGAGAAGATGTACATTGAGAGCAGTAAGCCTTGTCCTGTGAGATCCAGGCGGCGCTTTGTCCTCGTAGGAATGAACTACTGCAACGGCATCAAGTTGCCCCTCCTATAGACAAGATACTAGATAACTTAAATCGAATTCAAGTTTGGAAGCAAGGTAAATTTAGAGTATCATCGCTAGTAATACGTGATTTGATGCATGTTTTTAATTCATCAGACACGTGCACTATTTCAATATGTTCGGCTATCATTGATCAAAATATATTTTTCTAAGAACTACAAAGTGGCAAATGCACGGTGTTGTTAAATGGCGGCCATGCCGGAATGGTGTGACGATTTTTTTGACAACCGCCATAGCCAATTTGTAAAGGGATGCCGGCCATGGCAGTGCTATAGACCACAATGGCTATGTTCATTTAGAGGAATTTCAGCCTTCCACCATCGACATTACTGTCAATTCATGCACGAGTGCAATGATAACAAAGCTGAGAGAAATAAATGGAAAAAAGAGACAACAGCTTTGGGTAGTAAAAAACCCTTGAGATGTAAACTCATGCTGCAAATAGCTTCTCTTGTATTGTTCACAACTCTCAGTTTTCTCTCAACTATGAATGATTAAAAATGGCATCTCATATGAGTTAATATGATAAAGTAGTAATTTGGCAAAATGAGATAAAGTAGTAGGACTCACTCTGATTTCACAATATGACTCTTTCAGTTGATTTAACATTAACAAGTCAATAGGCTTTGTCAACATATCTGTTCGAATTTGTGGATAGGTCTGGTGATGCCTTTGCGTCCAGAGAAGACCCCTTGATATATCCTGAAAAATATGTAGTTAAAATATAAAATACGGTAATAACTTTTGGAACATAGAAGATAAGATCATTGCATAATTCCAACTTTCCAAGAACTATAATAAAAAATATCTTGACACAGTAGATGCAAAATACTGACATACTACATACTTGACAAGAATGATTATCTTTCATTAAAAGAAGCACGGGTTTGAGAAGGAGTGATGCGGAATACTCTAACTGATGGAGTTATGTAAGGCAATGTTACGCAAGTGGCTCTTTGATAAGGTATCAGACATTGGTGTCGATCAAAGTTCTTGTTCCCATAATCCTTCCAATTTCCCATTCCTAATTCAATTGCTCCATTTTATCAATATTTAGGTCTTTATGGAAAGATAGGGCTAGAAGATTTTTGTTTGGACAATTATCCTTTATAAAATTAATACAAATGATTTGCTATAGACTCAGACATCGAAAAGCTTTATGTAGCTTTTCGTTATAATGTATTAGAGTTTTAAAAGGTGCGGATTTTGGATAGTTAAAGTGAAATTTGATCGTAGAGATTATAGTTTATATACGCCGCATAAGTGAAAACAAAATCACAGTTTCTAAACTAATGCAAAGAAAAGTTTGGTCAAATAACAAATAACACGTGTCCAAGATGTTACTAACCTTATATCTTCCAAGTTCAAAACTATTTCAAAACACAACGCGTGCAATATAAAAATATATTTTGTACCTCACCGCCAAAAGTTAAAGTCCTTGCAGTTGATGGTAGAGCAGCTCCATCCTAAAAAATAAAAGAACACCAAAAACTTAGCCAGCTTTTATTTTTCAATCTATCTAAAGTCTGAACAATCATCAAGCATGGAGAGAATCCAATTTGATAAAAAATTGGAGGCACAAGCTAATATTCGAAGATAGTGAAATATGATTGATAATGATTTGATACTAACTTGATACAAAAAGACTAAACAAACATTAACCCTTATTTGATTTACCTCTATGCATATAAGTGATGTAACCTGAGCACCAATATTCACTACACATGCTGTTGATAATCCATTTCCAAAAACTGCAGCAAGACCTTCCTGATCAAACAATTCCATATGAAATCATTAGAAACTTAAGGAAAATTCCTGGCAAATTGTATGCTTTACTGCGTAAAAAAAGCATATTTAATAGTCAATCGATCCTACATTCATCATATAAACGTATAGCAATAAAGGTCATACCTGGTGCACCACGGCAGAGCCAAAGCATAGTTCTTGTAGAACTACGGATAGAATTTCCTTTATTTCTGCTTGTCATGGACTAAAACATAAATAGACTATACCAGGACAGGAGTCTGAAATTCAAAGGGAACTCTAACAGGAAAAAAATAAATGTGTGACATTTTCTTTGAAGGAATAAAGTTCTAAATACCACGATTATCAAATGTTTCTGGCATCACAAGAATAGCAGAGTACATGTTTCTTTCATTGCGAGGAATATGCAGTTTCTCTATTAAAATCCAATCCCATATAGCATGCAGATCCTCAAGCACCTGCAAAATAGCCAAAGTAGTGATGTAGAATGAAAGCAAGAAATAATCTAAGACACCCAATTGTCATTACACAATAATAGCATGTATTCTCAAAGATGTGGCCTATCGAACAACTCAACAGATTCTAGATTACTGGGAGATGCGACACAAACATTTCACTAGAATAAGCCCAATTCTAGATGATAAAAAAGGCGGTTCAATTTTGGAACCTATATCCAGCTACTCGAGCAACTAAACCATAAATTCCTAAATTATTGACGACAAACCCCTAACTCACTAATAAAAACCCTAACTCCTATTTCCAAATTAGATCATAAATTGGTATAGTTTATTAATAGATAATACCATAACCCATTGTTGCATTATTTTCCATTATGAAGGAAACTTATTGTCGACTTTTGAAACGGTGAAGTCACAGATGAGTTCAACAAACAACAGCAAAGAAGCTCACGAGATAAAACAAGTCTTAACATAATACAAAACAAGTAAAATTACATTCTGATGCAATGCAACAGCTAGCTTATAAGGCACAATACAGAATTACCAAGATGCATATTATCTATATCTTTTTCTGCATCAATAAACTATTGCGTTGGTTTTAATTTGGTTCGGAAGTGACATGTACCTGTTGCATAGGATAGTGTTGTGAAATATTCAAGTGTCCTCTGCGGATTGGACGGCATAAACAATAAGGTTCAGTGGGAGATATCCTTAATGCTTCCTCACCACAAATGAACTCTCTGAATTTTCGATTGCTCGTGCCAATTTCCTTGAAATCTGTACCATCTTTTGAGTCCAAAGACACGCTAGCCTCGTCTTTATTTGTAGTCTCTGCAAATGCCAGTTTATATAAATATAACATATGCTAATTGATATTAAAGTAACGGCATTTTAAAGTTGAAGATACCCTTTCTGGACAGGATTCTTAAACTTCTAATATTAGCCTATTAGGTACTTGATAGAACAAACTTGAAATAAATCAAATGCTAAGCTAGTTGACATAAACAACCCAAAGCCACATATGCAACTGAAGAGTAGATGTTTTACAAAAAAAATATCAATTTCTCTTACCTAATGCTGAAAGTGAAGACGAACTAGTGACCTCTTCGTAAACGTTAGTCCAAGTGAAAGGCGAATCTTTCCTGTTACTATGTGAATTGTATCCGTCAACACGTCCCATCTGTGCATATAATACAATGGAAGTCATAGTATTAGCAATGACTAATTATCTGTTTTATGATGCTATACTAATCTTATCCCAAAAACAACCAAAGTATTTGACAGAATCTTTCCAAATAAATTATTTTTATCTGCTCTTAAGAGTGAGAAAATGACTTTTCATAAATCTTAGTATTCATACTTGTTAAGATGTTATTAGCTTTACTACCATTGAATGATCAGTATTATGTTTAGTTTTCGCAATAGTGGCCATCTCGCTATTTGCTATACCACTTTAGCATTTTTGGGGTCAGGCACTCTACGCCACTATCTGAGATTAACAACATAGCTCAGGATTCCCAAAATCGGTCAATCAAATTACAAGGCTATGTGCTTGTCAGCACGTTTGTCTTATGTAGTTCATCACTTTTCATAAGCTCAAAACTTGAAAGTGTAACAGAATAAGATATTATGTACCTTTCGGGGAAAAGAGTTGCCGGAAGGTTCTTCATCCAGAAAGGGTATCTTCAACAAAGATGCAATCTTTTTTTCACAAAAAAAGAAAAGTGTAAAAAACCAACATCAGCGAATTGTAGAATAGAAATAAGTAACAGCTATAGAATGTGATATAACTTACAACATCATAAGCCTTTTCCCTTTCCATGTGCTGTGCAGTTGTAACCTGACTATTAAGCATCTAAACACATAAAACAAAAACAAACAACAATTGAAGTAAAACACTTATACCTACAGAGAAAGTGAAAACAATATAAACAACATAATAAAACAATGAAATCAAATAATTTCAAAAAACCTGATCTTGAACATTCCTCTTAGGAACCTGTTTGGTATAGTGAGCAATGCAATGAGGAACATTAAAAGGGGTATCCTGTGAAGCAAGGCCAATTCTAATATTTGCAGAACCTGAGTAAACAGCAATGAAGTTAGATTAATTAAAAATTTTGATTTTTAATATAACTTGGAGTTAAAATGATTAAAAGAGAGTAAGATTGAAAATGGATAATGCTCAAAATTGGATTTCATGCATACCAGGGTTGATAACAACAAGATTGGAGCCTCGTTCTGCCATTATTTGTGAAGGAAGCGCAGATTTAAGGTAATCCTGTGACATAGGGAACAAAATTGTTGAAAGCGTTAACGACGAGTGAGAAGTGAGAAAGAGAGAGGGAGAGGAACTGTACCATGGGAAATTATAGTGCGCAAAATTTGACGCTTTTTTTTTTTCCTTTTTTGTTTTGAACTGAGAAAACACTTTCTTTTAACAGATTTTTCAGGTGAAGGATCGTCTTTCAACTACAACACTACTAGTACTACTATTTTCTTCGTGACGATTTATATTAAATGATCAAAGTAATAATTGTAGGATTTGGATTATCTCTTTTTTTTATATATTAGGTCATCTCTTATGTTTCTAATCTAACGGTTCAAAATTTATAATGAATAATTAAATAAAAAAACAAAGACAAGTTATTTATATATTTCTCTCTCCTATTAAATGACTTTTTTATTTAATTATTCATTATAAATTTTGAACCGTTAGATTAGAAACATGAGAAATTGCATGATATATAAAAAAAGGAGAGGATCCAAATCCAATAATTGTATCGCACAAAAAAAATATTACTAATATAATTTTGTTGCAAAATGACTTTTAACATTTAAAAGTTCATTATAAATATTATATTTTAACCCAAACAATTTATATCATTAAGTTTATAAAATGATTAAAATATTTTATATATATATATATATATATATATATATATATATATATATATATATATATATATATATTTAATGATAATTTTAGGCTAGGGGTGAGGTGGGTCCAATGAGCCTTGCATCTCTAAAGAATAAAATAGCAAAAACTGGGACGGGTGGGACAAGTGTCGTAGAGGGTGCAAGCCTGAAACTTCGGTTTGTCCTGTGAAAAAATGTGAGTAAAAGAGGCATGCTAGGAGAATCGGGCTTGTTTTGCCACCCCTAAAAGAAATTATTAAGTTGCTCTTCGAATCATTTTTTTTATGTGGTTAATCATTACCTTAACCTAAAATGAGTCTTCTTATATCTTGATTATTTAACAAAATAGTTACGCGTGATGTCTCATCATGTAACCTGCTTTGTTTGATTACAATCCATTATTTCTTTGGCAAAATTGCAATCGGCGAAGATTTTATTGAACGTAAAATAACTATGTCACAATTGAGATTGTCATATGTATAGTGATCATAAATAGCCTTCCAACAATATATAATTCTAATAGAAAAATCTATGGTTAGTTCTCAATTACTATATAGATCGTGTCATTCTGACTATTTAGTGTGGCGCGATTTTGCTCAATTTTGTTTTTTTTTTCTTTTCTCCTTTTGTTTATTGTGTGTAATCTCTCACTTTTTTTTCATAGAACTTCTATAATAATATACCACAAAATTTGTCAGGTTATGATAACTTCTGGCTCGGGTTGTTCTTTTCCACAAATCTTTATAAAGGTTAATAATTCCTAAAAAAAATTAACATTAGAATTATTTGAAAACAAAAGTGAATGGTACTAAAAACATGATATGACGAAATTTCATTAATAAGGCCGAATGACCGGCAAATAAAAAGGTGAAAATATCATGACGTTAGGGAAATGGTGGCATCATTCTACCAACTATGAGTCAAAGAAGGTTTTAAGACTTCATGAACAATTTTCGACTTGCTTTAGAAAGACACATGATCCTAGTAAATGATAGACGGAGGAATGTTAGATTACAAAACAATTTATATTTTGTCACCTGTCCATTTAGACAATTATCATGTACATGAAGGTTTTAGGTCTACGAAAAAACCCTAGAACCCCAATAAAATAGGATACAAGCATAAACAAAGGTACTCACGCTCTATATAGATAAACATATCTCACCTTATAAAAATACTTACTTGGGATTCAGAGTACTTGCAGGTATCACTCCTTCTTAAGACGACAGACTATTAAGGAAGTTTTTACACTAGAACTCACCATAATCTGACCACTTTCACGTTCTAGTGGACAATTCTTTTTAGAAAAGCTCTCTACTTCCTCCTTGCACATAGAGGACTTGGATCAACCCCCATTAGAGGTTAGGGTCATCCTTGTAGGGTCATCCTTGTTCCCTCAACATGCAAAAAACTACAACTACCCTTGGTTAAAGAAACCTTGGTGCCGCCTTCACCTTCGCGAGAAGGTGAAGGTGCGCCCTAACTTACCATTTCAGTGAAATGTGCCCAACATAGGGGAAAAACCACCGACCACAACCATTTCCACCTGACACCGATGACGTCGAGGTCACCATAGGCACAAATCATGTTCCATACGCTAGTAAAGGTACCCCATAGAGATATGAGACTATGGGCTACCATATGAGATGTCATTGTAACCATTACCAACATACATCATATTTCCCATCTTTTGACGTTTATGAAATACACAAATGCATTTCCTTCTTTAACATTTTTAGCATGAGAATCAATTAGTGTTTTATACATAAGGAACTCCAAAATCCACTTTGGATGGGAACCTATGACTAGACAACAAACTTTGACAAGAATATAGAGATCATTAACGTCCTCCTAAACTATAAAGGATCCAGAGGCCCAAAGAATTTAACTATGTGTTCTCACCTTAAGCAGGATCCATGGTTTGGTTTAAGGGGGTTACGGAACAATTCAATTAGATCTTGGTAAGCACTCCAAATTGTTGGTGAATATGGTCAGAAAGAGTTTATAAAGGGTTTTAATAGACTCTAAGGTTTTGCAAACTATTTCAATATATTTACATCAGAGAATAAATGTGTTAAACACTATTTGTAAACCATGTGTTATTAGATGGGTGGGTATATATTACAAGGAATTTGCCCGAGGGTTGTAAAATTAAATCATAAACAATTAAGATATGATAATCAACAAACTAATATATCAACAACTATGTTTAATCAAACTTAAAATTATGCAATAAATAACTACAAACAAGGAATTGATAAATTCTAAGTCATGTGATTTTGTGAAAGCAATATATCCTAAAACATGTAACTGTATAATGAAAAGTAGGGGAAGAGAAATGGTACACAATATTTATGGTTTGGTTTGTGTCGCCCTCACAGTGGCACTTAATCCAATCTATGATGGTTGTTCGTTAAATATTTAGTCTTCACTAAAATATGGTACGTTTACAAACATCTACCTAATATTTTCTACATATTTAATCAAACATGTAGTATTTTCTTCCACACGATAAAGACTCAACAAATTTTCTTAAACTTTAAATTTCACGCATAAAAGGGAGGGATTGCAAAAGATGAAGCATGGGCTCAATAAAGGTACCCAAGAACTGAGATAAGAAGTTTTATTGGTTTGGCTAGTTATTATAGAAGGTTTGTTGAAGGATTTTTGAAGTTATCATTGCCTTTAACTCAGTTGACTCAAAAGGGTCAAGCTTATGTTTGGGATGTACATTGTGAAGAGAGTTTTCAAGAACTCAAGATAAAGTTGACATCTACTCCAATTTTGATTTTCCTGAATCCAAGTGAATCCTTTGTTATGTATTATGATGCTCTGAATATGGGTCTATGTGGTGTGTTGATGCATAATAGTCAGGTTGTGGCTTATACTTCTAACAGTTAAAATTTCATGAGAGGAGTTATCCTACGTATGATATAGAGTTTGCAGCCGTTGTATTTGTGTTAAAGATTTTGAGACAATATCTGTTTGAACTGTTTAGTGACTATAAGATTTTAAAGTACTTGTTCGATCAGAAAGAGTTGAATATGAGACAGAGGAAATGACTCGAATTTCTGAAGAATTATGATTTTGGTTTAAGTTACCATCCGGGTGAAATTAATGTTGTGTAGGACACCTTTGTGTTGGTATGAATCAGGTGAGAATGTTGTGCTTGGACCTGAGATTGTACAACAAACATCTAAGAAGATTAAGACGATCTAAAAGAAGATGAAGGCTTCACAGAGTCTCCAGAAGAGTTACCATGATAAAAAGAGGAAATCACTTGAGTTCCTTGAGGAAGATCATGTGTTTTTACGTGTTACTCAAGTAATTGATGTTGGTCAAGCTTTAAAGTCACGAAAGCTCACATAGGTTTTATTGGTCCGTATCAGATTATGAAGCAATTAGAAGAATAAGCCTACAAAGTTGCATTACCACCGCTTCTTTCGAATCTTCACCAAGTATTTCATGTGTCTTAACTAAGGAATTATATTCCTGGTCCGTCTCGTGTGATTCAAGTGGATGATGTGCAAGTTAGAGAGAACTTAACTGTTGAGGCATCTCTCGTGAGAGTAGAGGATCGTGAAGTGAAGTACTTGAGAGGCAAAAAGATTGCATCGATAAAGGTGGTATGGGGATGACCTGCTAATCGAAGCATGACATGAGAGCTGGAGAGTGAGATGAGAAATTTGTATCCGACTATGCTTCTTTCAGGTCATTTTCGAGGGCAAAATTTCTCTAAGTGGGGGAGAGTTGTAACACCCCAAAACTTGGTTAATTTATTTAATCAGATAAATCGTGTTTTATTTAATTATTTAGTATGTGCTTTTAATTAAATACATTGACTTGTATGTGTATGTGGGGTATCGTGAGGTCTAGTGAGAGCTTTGATGGGGTAGAATAATTAAATTAATTGAAAATGATTAGAATTAGTAATTCTTTTAAATAATTAATTAAAATAAAATAAATAAAAAGAGGTTTTTTGGTGGAAAATAAGAAATAAGGGAAAAATGAGGAAGCGATGAGAATTAAGAAATATGTTGGGCCTTGGTTTAATTACCAAAAGATTAAATTAAGTTTTTGATATAAAAAAATGGATTAAAGACCTAAGAGTTGTCAACACGTGAAATAGAGTTTGGAAGTGCAAAAGGGAGGATAGGGTTCGAAGAGGCGAGAACAACCATCATCCAATTCAGAATTTTGGCTAGGAATCTGAGGTAAGGGGGGAGAAAGGGCTCCATATGGGGTGTATTGGATGATAGAGTATAAAAGAAAGACTCTTACTCTCATTAGAGAGTATGTGGAATTGCTTATGAATTATTGTTATATGTGGTTATGCAAATTGATGATTTATGGTGTGTTCATATAATTTTGGTGACTGGTTTTATGCATATATGATTTTGTTTATGTGTATATGTTTGTATGTTATTGTTGGAGTTGTTGAAGG